CCCTGCCTCATGTCCTACCCTCTGACCTACCTCATGGTGACCTTACGACTAATACCTGAGTCGTGCCGAGTCCGGACTCCTTCCAATGAGTAAGCGCTCCTGCTGTCACATCAGTCACCTGCCAGTGAGTGAGGATGGGCGCTCCTGGCCGTCACGAGGTCTGGGGTTCGATCCTGGCCCCTCCACTTTCCGATACGAGTTGTCCGTGGTCAAGGTGAGCATCTGTCCTGGTTCACATGACCCCCAGGTCACGTGGCACGAGAAAACTGTGACACACCTCAGCTTCCTCACTCCTGCATTGTTCGGGTGGCCAGGGGTACAAAGACGGTACCGGGTAGAGCGAAAGATGGAGATAGATGGGAGCCTGCACAGTGGGAGACGTGGCAGAGTGTGAAAGTTAGACGCTTGACCCACCTGCCGGCGCGTCTACAGCGGTTTTAGGTAGGTGGAAACACTTTTATTCCATGCATCTTATCTACCGTGGTCCCTAAAACAACGAGTCATTCTAGGATATGTCTAGTAGATTTCGATTACTACCCTAGGGCAGCCAGAAGCGTTTGGTGACTTGGTCAGGTAAAGATTACCCCGGCCAGGCCAGTAATATCAGGAGTTTGTCCTAAGTGTCACCAGTAAACCAACGGGGAAATGCTTTTACGCACAGAGTGTGGGACTCGAAAAGCAGCCAGTTCATCTAAGATCGCAGCCGAGACTGTTATCTTATCCCTGACCCCTTTTAATACCCACTAAAACCCCGCTATTGCCGACCCATCCCTCGGGTAAGTTTCTGTGTCCGTCAACGATTGGGGCCCATATCCCCTCTACTTCACTTTGTTTCAGGTCTTTCTTGCTCTTCGTAAGAACGGATAGCCTCTGATCAAGGTTCAGTCGCCGTTCGATCGTCGCAAACCATGCGTTCTTCACCTCTTGATGTGTGAACTCCTCTCCGCTTCTCCTCATCACTCTTTCGCATCGTAGTTTCCATATGGGATGAACTGATTCTGACCATAGGATTGTCCACAGTGCTTCGACAGATGTTCTCCTGGCCCCAGCTGTTGTCTTTAAGACCGCGCACCCTGCACCTAGTGCTGTTTCCCAATCCGGCTCCATCCATGGTGCTTCGGTGTGAGCCCACACTTTTTTCAGTTCAGCCCAAACTTCAGCCTGACCTACAGCTTCGCATCTGAAAAGGATGTGATCCATTGATTCAGTGTTTTCACAGATGGGGCAAACGGCTCTATCCTGGTATTCTTCCGGCATGTCGTCCCGTCTCCATTTATCTCCAATCATGAAGATATCATGAATGGTTTTCCAAAGGAACTGCGAGGTAATGCCGGTGACATGTTTGGATCTAATCGATTTCCATATCATCTCATCTGTTACTTCATAGTCGAAGGCGTCCTTGATACCCTCTCTTATGAGCATTAGGTTCGTCTCAGTTCGCTCCCTTCGTTTGAGGCCGGCTAGCCTCCTCTTCTTTATTTCCTGGTAAGCTAGGCTTTGCATCATGACGCTGAGCTTCGCCTCCGAAACTCTCCATTTTACGGGTACGTTCAGGTTTATTTCATCTGGGGTTGGCTTCTTTGCGCCTAACATTGCGAGCTGTTTTGCTTGTGCATGGCCAGAGTGGCCGTCCTCTCTTTTGACTAACTTTAGGCTTGTCCTCGCTTTCCGGCTCAGCACTGCGGCTAGGAGAGCTCTCGACAGGTCAGCATTCGTTTCTTTCAGATAACCCTCTGCCTCAATCTTCACGTAATTCTTTGTCAGGAAGCTGAGAACCGCTTTCAACCCCGTGATCGCTGTGACCCGCTGTGATTTTTCTGGTGCTGATAGGGCTGCTAAAGCTGTGGCCATCTCCCCTGATTTTACTGGTGTGCACTTCCCACTGGGCACTCGTATCGCCTGGTTCATATGATGCCCTTCGCTCACATAAATACCGGCCCCCACAGATGCTGTTGACGTAGCCTTGTCTTGCACGTAGGTGCTACCCATAGAAATTGACAGGTATCCGCTCGTTTCGTCCCTGGTTAGGTCTACTCTCTCCTCAGGCAACTCGTTCTCTTCGCTGTCAGCGAAGATCCGGAAGATCTCGCTGATTGTTCCGTGCGTGGTGACCTTGTTCTTCAGGTCAATTTCTCCGTTCTCCATTTGGTCTTCATCTGACTCATTGTCTTCGTAGTCCTCCAGCAGGGTCCCTCTCGGATCCCATCTGGGCGACAGCGTGTCCAGGATCCTGGTGGCTCTCTTCATGCACGATATGGGGTGGGTGCAGCCAGACTCCTCCCGTATTGTTACGCATACTGAGCATTCGCATGCATCGTCCTCCGGTTCGTGAGGGGTGCTTGATAGTTTGCTACTCATGTCCCAGAAGTCGCCGACGGTGATTAAACCGTGCTTGTTTTTCAGGCAGTGTACCATTGCTATTCCGTTGATGCATGCACGTCTGAGTTCCTGCTTCTTTGCCTTGATGTGGCCCCACATAGGCATTGCCGTTATTATGGCTCTAGCTGGCGCTATCGCTCTAACGGATAGGTTGTATTTCTTCGCGACAGCCATCATCGCTTTCAGTTCATTTGGTATGTTATGAGCCAACTTCTTCTTTGGGTCCCAGTTCTGAATGAATGTGTTGATCCTTAGCTCGCGTTCCTGTGGGAAACAGGTTTTCGGCACGTTTGTCGCAAGGATATCATCGGCGATGTATGCCCATTGCGGTCTGTCGCTTGCGAAGTTTAGATACATTTTGAGCCACATGACATCGATTGCCTCGTTTCTGGCACTGATGTCGATTATATTCAGGCCTCCATCATCAATTGGTAGCCTTGGGTACTCCTTCGCTATTGGTGGGACTGCTTTCCCATCCCACAGGTAGTCTCGGATTATTTTCTCTAGCCTCTTCACCACCTGGTCAGGCATTCTCTGTACGTCCGTGAGATACTGCGTCATACCAGCTACCGCCATTTGTATGACGTGCCTCTTTCCGTCAAGTGTAGCGTTTCCCTTCTGCCAGCATTCAATTGCAGCTGCAACTTTCGCAATACTGGGAGACCATATGGCGAGTTGGTCGATGTCATTGCCGAAGAATACTCCGAGTATTCTGATGGCGTCACCTTCCCCTACCATGTGTACAAGCTTGGGGTATGACCTCCATCTCCCTGTCTCCTTATAGGTTTTGGCCATCTCCTCTCTATAGGAGCGTTCTCCTATTGGTATGATCTCTGTTTTCAAGATGTTGAACTTTGCTTTCGCCGCAGAACACCAAGTGTCCAAGATTTTTTGTAGTACGTCAAAATCATCCTCATCTGACAGATATATTGTCGTATTGTCAGCGAAAAGTGTCACTTTAATCGGTTTCTCCAGACCGGCCACCTTGAATCCCGTAAGGTCAGATTTCTGTATCATGGCTGATAGCGGTTCTATCGCAAAATCGAACAGTAGGCAGGACAGGGGGTCCCCCTGTCATACACCCCGGTAAACCCGGTAGGGATTGCTTAATACCCCATTAATCATGACTGAGGTGTTTGCATCGGTGCATAGGTCTCTCACGGTGTCGATGAAGTTGCTCGGAATCCCGAATTTCTCGAGAACCTGCCACAGGTAGTCATGTGCGATCTTGTCGTATGCCTTTTCCTGGTCTAGGGCCACTATCGCTCCATTGAACGAGTTTTGTTCCGCCCATGCTATCATCATACGCACCAGCTGCGTATGATTGTGAATTTGTCTTCCCGGCACGAAACCCGCCTGAGCTGGGTGGACTAGGTTCGGCGCGACAACTGACAGCCTTTTCGCAAATATTTTTGTGAGCAGCTTGTAGTCTGTGTTTAGTAACATGATCGGACGATAGTTCACGACTTTCGACCGTTCTCCTGTTTGTGTATAGCGGAGACATCCATCCTTCTGCAAAATCCGTTGTTTTGCATACACCGTGTGTTTGCATATCTCTGAAGACCATTAGCAGGAGTTTCACGACATTGAGGCTCGGTCTTTCAGCTCTCTCATCTTCAATAAATTGTTCGTATAGTGTTTTCCATACTTCATGTTGTATGCCATCAAGGCCTGAGGCAGTACCGTTTTCCGCTTCACGCAGCGCCTCTATGCATTCTGCATATTGGACCTGGGTGCCTATGTCCTCTGCCTCCTCCTCGGACACTTTCTTATCGAGACTTTCTAGCACTAGCTTTATATCGTTCTCCCTGTCTTCCGGGGGTCTCATGTTTGCGTCGTCTTCCTGGACACTGTCGTGGTGGAGGCGGGCCATCTCCGCCATCTTCTTTGGGTCTGACTCGTACACTTTTTCGCCCTCCGGCGTTGTCTCTCCCTCTTTCAGGAGTGCTGGGATAAGGGTTCTAGGTGCGTGATCTTTGTTAAGTTTACACCAGTATTTTGTTGGGCGATTCCCTTCCTTCCAGAACTTTGCCCTCACACTCTGTTGCTTCAGCCTTCTACGTCTGATTGCTAGGTCACTTAATTTCTTGGTGAGTTTTGCCAGGTCCGAGGCCTTCTGCTGGTCATCCTCGTACTCCTCCAGTTTCAGATGCTCAATTTTCTTCTCAAGTTCTCTGATTTCGGCTAGGAGTTTCGGAATTACTTCTTTCTCCCGATCTTGCGCCATCTGCATCCAGTCAGTCTTTAGGTCGGCAAGGACCCTCTGCAGGTTCTCTTGGTCGCTTCTCTGCACTACTCCTCTCTCCAGGTCAGTAGCTGCTTTCATCGCTCTGATGCCGCGTTCTTTCATTGCGGTCGCTAGTTTTTTATCTCTAATCAGGGGAAGGGGAAAGATTGGCCTTCCTCGACCAGTTTCCGGCGCGTTCGCCGTTGTCAGTTGCACTGACACCATTAGGTGGTCAGTGTTAATACCTGACTCGTCTATTCGCCAGTCTCGTGCCAGCCTGAACATAGGATCATGGACATAAATCCTGTCCAGCCTGGAGAATGTGGCATGTTGGCCTTGGCCACGATGGAATGTATAGACTCATTCCGTTGGGTGAGTTTCTCGCCAACCGTCTACTATCATCAGACCTAGTGCACGTTTCAGCCTGTCTAGGTCTTCTATCGACCTATCTGATGTTTTGCTGATTGGCAGTCTGTCAATTGCGTCCTCTACATTGTTGAAATCACCTGCCATCATATCCGGTTCCGGCAGGCCTCTATTCCTTTCGTAGAAGGCTTGTACTTCCTTTAGGTAGCGACAGCGTTCTTGAACCCCATCCAATGTCGGTGCATATACGCACAGTATGTTGATCCTGTCCTCCCCCATATGTTTCAGGGAGATGTGTAGGGCCCTTCCCCAGACGATCGTCGTCGCGTTAGCTCCTTCAGCACTTACTGATTTCTTGTTTATGATCACAGTGACTCCTTCTTTCTGACTCGGCGCATCTGGGTGCGCAGAGCTGAATAGAACCATGTTCTTCTTATATAGTTTTTGGAGTGACTCCAGCCGCTCCTCCGTCAGGTGCGTCTCTTGTAGTAATAGTACCCCAATTCAATTTTCATTTACAAACTGGGAGATTTTCCCCCACTTGTTATTCGGGTGGTCTGGCTGGAGCGACCCAAACCCGTTCATATTCAATGTCGCTACCCGAAGCGTCGTTTTGCGAGCGAGTTGGTCTGCCTTCCGCCTCGTTCTTCTGTTCCCATTAGAGTTTGTTGGATGCTCTGATCGAGTGCTATTGGGGGCGCGTTCTGCGCCGGCGGATTGATGGGTGATCCCCTCCGCATTCCCTTCTCTTGACAAGGGGTCATGCTGCAATGCAGCAGCACCATTTATCCTGGCATTTGTGCCGTCTCTGATCGAGTCCGGCCGCGGGGAAGTATCTAGTTCATCAAGGGGTTGTGCCCTTTCCCTGATACTTCGCACACCGCTCAATCCACTATCCAATCGAGACCCCCCATCACCGGGAGACTGGCTAGTGGTGGCGCCAGCGCTCCCTCCAGGGGGAGCTGACGCTATGTCTGTTACCGTAGTTATGCCATCGTGTTGCTGCTGTAGCTGCCTGTATATATTGTGTGAGTTGTTCGTAGCAAAGTGGAGACTCCCCTTCAGATGTGCCAAACCTGTAAGATCAACGTCAGTGTGTTGGGTTTCGCCCTCTCTCAAAAGCTCCATCTTCATCTAGGATTCTCGACAGAACTTCATAAGGAGGGTAGTGTTTCGGCACCCGTACAGACACCGTTCTGTATCAGGTCAATAGGCTTGACGTCCAGTGTCCTGTCCAGGTGAACCTGTCAGTAAATTTAGCTAGACGTTCTCGTCCCCGTGCTTTGGTCGGTCGTCCTCAGTTATGTTGGGATGATGCGACCAGAGCTATTGCGTGATAGCACACAGGGCTACGCCATCCTAGTAGCGGTGATTGATCTTGTACTCCCATCCGATGGGCTCAAGCTCAGTTTTGTTGACCAAGACACGAGATCGTCATTCTTAATCGGGCATTCGTCGTAATACAACACACGGTACGTTCTAACATTCTGTAAGACAGCACTTCTCAACGGCGGTCATCCCTGCCCTTGCCCTTGTGGTCCGTGGGGCGGCGATTACGCTGTGTAGCTTTTGCAGATTTGGGCGGGCGAGAGTCCCGCTCGGCTCTCCTCGCCTTCACCTGCTGCCAGTCTTGCCCCGCCGTTTCCTCCTCGGCGGTGGAGGCTCCAGCGGTGCGGGCCTCCAGCTCCTGTCTCGTATAGATATCTTTCACAGCGGTACCCTTCCAGCCTTCGACGTTTAGGGGGCACTCATGAGCACAGTGCGAGGTGTCCTTGCACAGTTTGCAGTCCACGGACGCCTTGTCGACCTCTAGCATGCACGGACCCCTCCAGTACACTTCGGTCTTGGTGAACTTCTTCGCCCACTTCAGGTACGCCGTGGTATCGTTCGTCACGGGCTTGATATAGACGAGGTATGCGGGGACCTCCTTTCGCGAGGTCTTCAGCTCCGCCGTGACGCAGACGACATTGATCGTGTTCGTCACGAGTTTGAGGAGGGTGGCTGGATCGCCATGGAGACCCCAGTTCGCCTCGACTTGGTGCGCTGTGGAGACTGTGAAGTCCCTGTCCTTCCAGACATAGTCTTTGATCTCCTTGGCGAACTGCTGGCAGGCCTGCGGAGTATCTTCGACTGCGTACCTATCACGCCCTGTGAGGACCATCAGTGTTCACGGCTGGATGAGTTCGTCCAGCGGATGCACGGAGAACGACAGCGTGGGGGTGATGGGGAAGACCTCCTGATAGAGGAGCCATTGACGCAACCACTCAGCGTCGGGGCCTAGGTCCGCGAACCACGTCCACGGCTGTCCGAAGGTATTCGACTTTTTTGGTGTGCGCACCTGGGCCAGATAGATCCGAATCTGGGTAGAGGGTAAGGTTGTCGCGGCGGCCTCTGCGTTGTCGATCGGCATCTGTTGGTTTTTGGATGGGGGGAACGAGAGGTCGGAGAGGAGCTTCGTGATTTTATCGCGAAGTGGTCCCCCTGTGGTGTTGATGTCTTGACCACCGCCATGGACGACAATCGCGACCTTCGGGTTGGCGATCTCGCGCACTCGTCGGACTTGGTCCTCAATCACGTTCCCGAAGATGCGGAACGTCGGGACATGCACATGCGGAAAGATCTTGTCCGGAATGCCTAGCTGTGCTAGGTTAGTCGGAGCGAGGGGCGGCTCCCCCCGTCGAGTGAGCTGCCTGTGGGGGTTCTCGCCGACGGCTGCCAGAAGACCCTCGAAATCCCCGGAGTCGTAGCGTGATGAGGCGAGGGCCATCGTGGTAGTCGGCGTCCTTGGCAAGGGAAGTGTGATGCGGAGGATCGTGGAGGAGAGCCCTTGTTGCGTGGATGACGCGGCGGGTTTCTTACGCTGGGCTACTCGGTCTTGTTCGACGGGGCTCCTGCGTGGGTTGGGGTCTCCTTCAGTGCGGGGGCGTTTGTTGGAGGCGTCGACTTCGTCACTGGTGGCGTCGGAGAAGTCGAAGGTGAAAGTAGAGTCCATCTTTCGAGCTGGGGGCTTTTCATTTGAGCGGGGGCCCTTTATCTGTTGTTAAAAGCTGAATCAGCGCTGAGTGGCATAAAGCAACTCTGGAACAAAGCTGTTATGTTCTTTGTTGGCAAAGTGTCTTAGACTTAGTCGCGTCAGCTTTGTGTTTCCGGGTTCCGTGAGTGGTGTTTGCTTGCGTCACCCACGCGCCTGCTGGCTGCTCTCTTTTTGGCGCCGTCGAGGAGACCATCCCCGGCGAGGTACCTTCGTTCACCATGTGGGTCAACTGTTGTTCTGGTTGGCTAGACAGACATCTGCGTCCGTCTGAGGAGTTATAGCATAAGTATTGAGCCCGTGAACAGGGGAAGGAGACCATGTAAGTCACATGCGGGTGGTCAGGATCGACCGGAGCTGCTTCACGCAGTGCGCAAGCTCATTTGGTGCTCTGATCGAGACACCTTCGTCTCTCCCCGCCTGGCAGGAGTAGAGCACGACTTCTTACGACGGTGTTGAGCGTCGTTCCTTGGTCCCTGTTTGAAAGGGAGAGCCGCTGAGCCACTCATCATGGTAGATGATGGTGGATCGGGTCCAAGGTCCGTCTACAGCGATTTTCAATTGACTTGTCATTTGAGCGCTGATGCGAGCGCGCCGCCACACCTGTGTCCGACCCCCACTGATGCCTCCCTTGGAAACCTTCGACCGACAATATCTCCTCTTCCCCTCCACAAAACCACTCGCTTCTTTCAGTTTATCACGCCTGGAGACTATCCGCACACATTGATGTCAGTTGTGTTGCTGGATGTGCCACCCATATCGCGCCAACCCCATATTACATTCCGTGCACTCGCCTCTCGATTTAGACTCCGTTACACATTGAACAGCGCGGTGTACTCCTCCGGAAACCATCGGAAAGGGTCAATTCGAGTGCTATTGAGGGAATTATGCAAGAGGTTTGTGAGTCTTGTAGTTTTAACGTTGTGCATGGGGGCGGCTGGGAGGTAGCGTCCAGTGCGACATCGGGATTTCTCTTTGGGCGATAGCACACAGTGTTGCTTGTGAGTAATATATACTATATGGAAGTTCTGGTGATCTTGCGGGGTATCTGGGAACATGTGTCATCACTGCAGGACCGCTGGAGGGGACAGGAAGGGTCGCCGGGCGGTTCATATGGTACTAAACTACTGTCACGGACGTTGGACAGACACCCCTTTTTGCCGCCCATTCCCTTGCCTTTGACGCCCACCTTCCATTTCTGGACCGTTTCCTTTCCTAGCTCATCCCAGTTTGGACACTGTAGATACGTTCCCACAGCTGCATGCTACGTTCCCGTGAGCGCCATGCCCTTGCCTTTTCTTTCTCGCCCTTTGTTCTCCCTTTGTCATCTTCACTGCCTCACTCTCGCGCCTTGTCCTTGGTTGCTAAGCAGCCCCTCTAGTATATAAGGACCCCCCTAGGCGCTCCCTAGTCCCCATCTCGACCTCTTGGTCATTGGGACTAGGTGAGTGACCATAGCGTTGTATCTCTCTTCGATTGCTAATGTATAACTTGGTCATTGGGACTAGTCTGTCGCTGCTTGCGTGAAGACTAGCTTTCGTCGGTCTTGTGCCTTCGTGCCGACCGCCGCTCTGCCCCGTCGAGTTTTCTGATACGTTTATCCCTCTCACCCTCTCTTCTCCCCTTTCGGCTCCTCGCCGCTCGCCTACGGGGTCGTCGCCGAACGTCGACCCGAGTCTACGCGCCTAGTCGCCGCGACATTAGGTCGAGATCTCTCCCCCGGTGCTGACGCTCTGGACAAGAGTGTCCCCGCCGCCGCTACATTGTCTCCCCCACCCTGGACTGCACCGGCAGACTTCACGCGTGGGACACAGAAGACCAAGACCACTGTCACCGACGGAAGGACCTAGA